GTGAAAGAGATGTACTCTTGCTCTGGAGTGTGTTACTGAATGTGTTAAAGCTGTAATGAAATGCTTCTTCTAATCACGTAGTTATTAAAAATTTTTTTAAAAATGATTTAAAAAACTCTTAGATTAAAAAAAATAACATAATTGCTCAGTTCTCAAATGTGAACTTTGTAGACGACAGTGTCACTTTGCATGTCAGAAGGTTGGACACTGCCTGGCCCATGTGAGAGATAATTGGTCTGTTAGGAGGGGCATTTTCAAAAAACTCAAGTAGAAAGTAAAATTTTTTAAAATACATTGTTGGGGGTGGAGAGATGGCTCAGCAACTAAGAACACTGGCTGTTCTTGCAGAAGACCTGGGTTCGAATCCCAGCACCCACATGGCAGTTAACAACTGTTCGTAACTCCAGTTCCAGGGGATCCGACAGCCTCGTCTGTCCTCTGTGGGCATTGCATGACATGGGTACATTTACCTACATGCAGGCAATACATGCATACACATAAGACCAAAAATAATAAAATATTTAAAAAATATATCATTATGAGAAATTAAAGACTCCAGGACTCTGCTATAAAGTTGGTATATAAAATATAATTTTTTTCTGATTATAGAAATTCACACTCATTGTAGAATATTTGAAAACTAAAGAAGGAAATTTTAAAACACATCCAGACATAACCATCGTTAACAATCTGCTGTTTCCTTCCAGTTTTTTAAAAATGTATATATTCATACTTTTATAAATCTGGCACTAGGCTGACATTCTGAGCCCCACTTTCCACATGGCATCTTTCCATTCAGGAATACAAAGAACTTCCCGTGTGGGAGTGTGTGTTGGGCAGGTCTAGGCTAAACGTTTATACACATCACCATATTTTATCTCCAGGCAGCTTCTGTGATCACCCAAGGATGAGGAGATGGTCTCTGGAGGTTGCATGGATTGCCTATAGTCATAGCAGTGGGCCAGCCTGAACCCAACACCCATATCCTGACCTCCAGACTGTCCTGTCCCTGGCAGTTACAAAGAAGTTGTCATGTGGCTACAAAGCACTTTGATTTGTGTATATGCCCACATTTACCAAGCCAATTTCTTATGATTGGGCACAATTTTGGTTTTTCACTTTTATGAATGTGCTGGATAGCTTTAGTGTCAACTTGACACACCTGGGTTGAGGGAGCCTCAATTGGGGAATTGCCTCTATTGGACTGGCCTGTGGCCATGTCTGAGGGGCATCTTCTTGATGAGTGATGTGGGAGGGCCCAGCCCACTGTGGGGGTGCCACCCCTGGGCAGGTGGGCCTGTGTTGCATAAGAAAGCAGACTGAGCAGGGGTCAGGGGAGCAAGCAGCGTTCCTCCATGGCCTGCACTCCAGCTCCTGCCTCCAGCTTCCTGCCCTGAGTTCCTACCTTGGGCTCCCTGATGAACTGTGACCTGGGAGATGTAAGATAAATAAATCCTTTCCTCCCCAAGTTGGTAGTGGTCAGAGTGTTTTGTCACAGCAATGAAGATCAAACTAAGACAGAAATTGATACCAGAGAGTAGGATATTGCTGTGAGACCTGACCTTGGTGTTTTGGGGAGGACTGTGGAAGTGTTTGGAACTTTGGGCTGGAAAAGCTATTGCATGCTCAGAGTTTGTTGCTGTGGAGCTTGGAACAGTTATGTTGAAAGAGTTGTAGACGATGGAGGCCTGGCTTCAAAGGGAAGCAGAGACTATCAGGGCTGTTCCTGTGAGATTTTGAATTGAGAATCTGTGAGTTCTGGTTGGCTAGGGCTTTACTGGGACAATTGATGCTGGTTAGCTGGGGCTGAAAAATCAGCTGTAAGTAACAAGAGACCAGCATCACTGTGGTGAAGTCTTCTGGGAGGTATTTCCTCAGGGTCAGCACATAGAGGGGACCTGCACCTCTATTTCGAGCTGGAAGCCGGACTTGGTAATGTGTAAGAGTCTCCTGCATGGTTCTGGTGTTTGAAAA